AAGAATACTGGAGTGGGTTGCCATGCCCTTCTCCAGGGGATCATCTCCACCCAGGCATCAAACCCATATCTCCTATGATTCCTGCACTGGCTGTGTTTCCTGCACTGGGTTTCTTACTACTAGTACCACCTGAAAGTGAAAAGTGTTAGTCTCCCAGCTGTGTCCAACTCTTTGCAACCCCATGGACTGTAGCCCATCAGGCTCCTCTGTCCGTGGAATTCTCCAGACAAGAATACTGGAGTGGGTTGCCATTCCCTTTTCTAGGGGATCTTCCTGACCCAAGGATCAAACCTGGGTCTCCTGCATTGCAGGCAGATTCTCTACCATCTGAGCCACCAGGGAAGCCCCCAGATCAATACAATTTTGTAAATTTATTTTTAATTGGAGAATAATTGCTTTATAATATTGCATTGGCTTCTGCCATACAACATGAGTCAGACATAAGTATATATGTGCTCCTCCCTCTTGAACCCCCCGACGCTCCCCACTCCATCCCACCCCTCTAGGTTGTCACAGAGTACCACTGCTTTGAGCTCTCTGTTGTGCAGCCAGGTTCCAGTAGCTGTCTATTTTACATAAGGTAATGTATGTTTCTATGTATTCTCTCAATTCATCCCACCCTCTCCTTCATCTGCTGTGTCCAAAGTCTGTTCTCTACACCTGCATCTCTACTCCTGCACTGCAATATTTCTGACTTAAAATTTCTAATTACTGGGCTTTAACACATGTGTGTATTATGTGTGAAACATGACTCATTCTCTATTACTAAAACATATACAGAAAATGCATTCATGTTTTGTTTTGTGTGCTCCCTCTGTATTTGTGCTGTTTATACTATTAAGGTACTTATAATGAAATTACTGGGCTATTTTTTAAGTTTATAGAGCATAATATCATACTATAAAACTGTGATAGAAGCTAATCCTTTTCTCCTATAAAGTAAATAAGAAACAATTTGTAGGTGCTTCTAGCAAGTTTATTTATGCAGTTTAGCTCTCTCTCATGCTTTGGGCTTCCCAGATGGTGCTAGTGGTAAAGAACTCGCCTGCCAACACAGGAAATATAAAAGGCGTGGGTTTGATCGCTGGGTCAGGAAGATTCCATGGAGGAGAGCATGGCAACCCACTCTAGTATTCTTGCCTGGAGAATCCCATGGACAGAAGAGCCTGGCAGGCTACAGCTCATAGGGTTGCAAGAGTGGGACACGACTGAAGTGACTTAGCCTGCATGCAGTGTTTTGTTATCTCAAAGTTGTTTTCTACTAAAATAGAAGGGGAGGTGATGGAGCTGGGCGCGGGGAGGGGGCAGTGTGGGGGAGAGAAGAGAGTCTTATAAATCACTGAAATCATACTGCTGTCCTGAATGAATCACTCTGTGTGGATTCCAGATAACTCAACTCCCAATTTACATGGAGAAGCTTCCAAAATATTTTTGCCCCAAATCTTATAAACAAGCTGTAAGCAAATATGTAGGGCTCCGTTGCCCTGCAAACAGAATCTCCTGACTCTCCTGGCCGGTCCTCTGAACACGCAGAGGAGAATTTACTCTGGGATCATTTTAATCAGCCTGAGGTTCTCTGCTGGCCAAAGGAGTGTAAGAATTTACATTCCCCAGAATGCGCTGTCTGTCCTCAGCTGAGCTGCTCCACTCAGCTTCCTCCCCACCCCCAGGGTGGAGGCTTTTTCTAATCCCCTCTCTCTTCTTTCCAGATGGCTGGTCAGGCCCCTCTCAGACACGCTCACTCCCTCCTACAGCCCTTAGCCCGATGCTCTGGGCCTAGTTTCTACCTCTCCGCCTTGCCTCTTTATATGGATATAAACAAATCTTTCTCTCTTTAATTCATGATCTTAACTTCAGTCTGTATGCCGCCCTTAAGATTTTCCCTGGATAGTCCATGGAGGAGGAGTATAATGGCTTTTCACACCTGCCCCAGAAGGTCTGTTTCCTGGGCAGAGCTTCCAAAACATTCCTTGGAGGCATTGTTTCTGGTTGGGACTGGTGCTAAACAGGTGAACCTATACTTGCATATGCAGAAGCTGGTGCTACTCAATGAACTCTTCATCTCTGAGTTCAGCATACAACTTCTGTGTACAACTGCAAGGTACGACTGCTCTCTTCCCTGTATTTCTGTTCAGTTTCAGGAAGTAATGTAGAAAAATGTGGCAGAGAAGCACCCCCACAGAGTGACGCGATGATTGCCTAGCTTTCTGGTTGGCTCTGAGTCAGGAGTCACAGAGTGAGGAAACCAGCAGGAGAGATGAAATGCTTCGTCTTCTTAACCTCCATCAATTTTTCAAGCAAGAATGTTGTGTTTCAACAAGGTGATGAGTGGATAAGTGACCAACCTTTATTCTCAAGTCCATCTCTATCACTCTTATAGGTTGTGAAAATTCCTGAAAGATTCTACCAGGCTAATTTCTTTTCTGAAGTATATATGTGTGTGTGTGTGCCATTTTAGAAATTTTAGTGATAAATTAGAAAGGATCAAACAATGTCACTGTCATTTTGAAAAAGTATATTTAATAAAGTATTTAAATTGAAAGCAGGAGCATCCAGTTTCAAAAGGCATCTCTGCGTGTCTTCTCCCACAGTTCTATTACAATGACAAGAGAAAAAAAAAAATAAAGCAGCTCTGAAAACCAAGGATCACAGTTAATATCCTGGAAAAGTCTTGCAGTTCAGTTCAGTTCAGTTGCTCAGGCATGTCCAACTCTTTGCAACCCCATGGACTGCAGCATGCCACGCCTCCCTGCCCTTCACCATCTCCCAGAGTTTGGTTAAACTCATGTCCATTGAGTCAGTGATGTCATCCAACCACCTCATCCTCTGTCGTCCCCTTCTCCCGCCTTCAATCTTTCCCAGCATCAGGGTCTTTTCCAATGAGTCATTTCTTCGCATCTGGTGACCAAAGTATTGGAGTTTCAGCTTCAACATCAGTCCTTCCAATGAACACCCAGGACTGATTTCCTTTAGGATGAACTGGTTGGATCTCCTTGTAGTCCAAGGGACTCTCAAGAGTCTTCTCTAATACCACAGTTCAAAAGCATCAATTCTTTGGCACTCAGCTATGTTTATAGCCCAACTCTCACATCCATACATGCCTACTGGAAAAACCATAGCTTTGACTAGATGGACCTTTGTTGGCAAAGTAATTTCTGTAGTTTTTAATATGCTGTCTATGTTGGTCATAGCTTTTCTTCCAAGGAGCAAGCATCTTAATTTTAATTAAAAGTCTTGCAGGTATTGCTAAAATATCTACCAAGCATATTTAGTAGAACTGGATAGAGAACTTGTTTCTACAGGCTTTACCTTTTGAAATATAAAGTCGCATATTCTCATAGTTGGTAGGAAGAAGTTTAAAATTTCCCCCATGATCTGCTCCTAGCTGGGACATCCATGGCCTACAACTGGGGAAAAAGAAAAAGGAAACCTGTACAGTATCATTGTGAAGATAGTGATTTAAGACAGAAATGCTTCTGTTTTGACCATGTCCATTCTGTGCCTGACTCCTACTAGCATTCTCTTTCTGTGTGTATGCAGAAGTTCCAATTCACTCAGAAGAGGAATTGTTTCCCGGACAGACTTTCCTGTCCATTTAGAAGAAGCATTGTCTTAAATGACTCTGATACTAAGTTGGAAGAGTGACACAGTCCTAAGACTGATCCACTGCTCATTTGAATGACAGCCACATACAAAAACCTATCCTGTAAGTGGACTCTTCCCTTCTCTGTACTAAGCTCAAGTGAAAATAGAAGAGAACAGATTTTATCCACAGGTAGGTAGACAACAAGATCCCAAAGACCCTGTACCCTGAACTGAGAGATTTTCATGCATGTATCTATTGCAGAAGCCTCCTTTAGATAAAATGAAAAGGTTTCTGTAGGTCTAAGAAAACTAAGCAGAGAATAAATGAATGAATATTCCCCTTGATTCTAGAAGAAAAGAACAAGATAAATGTCTATAAGAAAGGAAATGACAGCATTGACCTTCCCTATTGCTCTCCATTGGGGAGGAGTCTGCATGGACTCAAGAGCAACTGTGTGGGACCAAGGATCTGGCTGAGTCTCACATTATTAAAGGATAATTAAAGAAAAAACAAACACACAGTGGCACAGAATGGAGAAAATGCACAGGGCACTGCAAGGGAAAGGAGTATTTTTATCTGCAAGTTTTGAAGGCACAGTTCACCTCTGAAAACTATTTTTGACAGGAAACACAAGACATTTCAAAAAAGGGTTTCTTGGTATTCTCAATAAGACAGGAATTTACAGCTCCTGAGAAAGAGCGAATAGGCTTATATTCTTTGAAAGATCAAAGATAAAGAAGAGATGCAAAAACAACAGCCCAAGGAACAAGCTAAGGGATAAACTGAAACTAAAGCAAAGCTAATTTTGAAAAAGTACCAAGTAATGAAATTAAAACACTAATGGCAAAATTAAGGGTAATTTTAATTCTATTATTTAGGATTTTCTGCAATTTTTAAAGTATTTTTTCATAAATAGGAAAAATAAAAGTAATTAATAAGGCTACTGTTTTAATTATAAACAGCAATATAATAATGTAATAGAAAACTTAAAAGTAAAAAATATGTATAACTCACCCCTCATTTATCATTATGTGAACTCTCTTCCTTATTTCTTTCATACTTATATTTTACATATTTTAATCATGCTATAAATACGTGTTTCAATTTATGTTGTTTAGGGACTTCTGTTCATTTTCAGTTTTGCTGTATAATCTTCATGAGTGTTCAATTAATAGCAGAAAACATCTCACCCAAAAGCTTTTTGTAAATATGCTCAGTGACTCTCCTATTGATGGACATTTAAATGACTCAAAGTTTTAAAATATGAATGATGTTCAAATAAATGGTTTTGTATAGTCAGTATTTTTTTTTTTTTTTTTTAGTTCCTGAAAGCTTAAATCCCACAACATTTATTATAAAGGTGTTATACAGGGAATAGCACCTGATCTTCATGATGAGCTTATCGGTAGGATTTCTAGTAGCGGGCACGGGCACCAGGACCTCCAAACTTTTTGGATTCGCAGCGACGGGGATCGGCTACCAGCAGGGTCCGGTCGTACTGGATGAGGATGTCTTTGATCTCCTTCTTGGAAGCCTCATCCACATATTTCTGGTAATAGGCCACCGAGGCTTTGGAGATGGACTGGTGGATGGCGTAAATCTGGGCCACGTGACCACCACCCTTCACTCGAACGCGGATGTCCACACCAGCAAATCACTCCTTGCACAGGAACAGAACAGGTTCCAATAACTTGTATTGCAGCGTGCGCGGTTCAATCATCTCCAGGGGTCATCCGTTCACCTTGATGAGGCCGTTACCTCGTTTGCAGTGCGCCACGGCGGTGGCTGTCTTCTTGCGTCCGAAGACTTGCACCGACTGCAGAGGGCCTTTGGACGGCATGGCAGCAGACGTAGAAAAGAGATCCTCACCTCGCGGCGCCGCAACCGGAAAAAAAGCTATAGTCAGTCTTTTAATTCTTTATATTAGTTTTGTAATTTAGATTCCATGCAGTAATTATTGTTCTTCTTACTTTTAATAATGACTCTTCTAAATTAGGTATTATTATCATCTTCATCTTAGTGGAAGAGAAAATTCAGTCTTAGAAAAGGTATGCACCTTGCCCAAGTCTCACCATTGATGTGTAGTGGAACTGTGTTCACACGAGGCCGTCTGCAGGGGCAGTTCACACTGCCACAGTTCTTTTCAAAGCAGGTTCTTTGGAGATTAACATTGTTAACAGTTCCTATTTCATGGCACCTTTAAGAGCAATTGGATATTTATATTACATTTTTGATGATTTAATAAGTAAGGGTCAGATGGAGGGGAAAATAACAAATTTTTGTCCTGATCTGGGCATCCTACGAAGTGGTATTATTTTCTTTTCTGATTATAAAGATAATCTAAGAAGATTGTTTTCCCAGATGGAGCTAGTGGTAAAGAGCCCGCCTATCAATGCGGGTTTGATCCCTGGATTGAGAAGATTCCCTGGAGAAGGGCATGGCAACCCACTCCAGTATTTTGCCTGGAGAATCCCATGGACAGAGGAGCCTGGCGGGCTACAGTTCATGCAGTCGTAAAGAGCTTGACATCAGTGAAGCAACTTAGCACACACACAAGAAGATTGTCTAAATGCAGAGCAATGCCTTCAAATGATGAATAACTAGACTCATTCTAACTCATACTGTAAGCTCATGTAAGCAGGAGCTATTCAACACAAATCAGAAACAAAAACAAATTCTTGCAAGAATAAATTAATGCACTAAAAGTAATCTATATAACAGGTGGATGCCATATTCTAGATATAATGTACTACTAATAAAAAGCCTCTTCAAAAGGTCCCAGAAAAGAAACCCTGTTGATTCACTGGACAGGGCTTTTGACATGAAAGCCAAAACTCAAAACTGCAGATTTTCACACAACAATAATCTTAACAGCTCTAACAATCTTGCCTTGTATAAAATTGTAGGGCTTCCTTGGTGGTCAAGTGGTTAAGAATCCACCTAATAATGGAGGGGACACATGTTCGTTCGTGCCCTGGTGCTGGAAGATCCCAGATGCTGCGGGGCACCTGAGCCTGCGAGCTGCAATTACTGAGTCCACGTGCCCTAAAGCAACAAGAGGAGCCACTGCAATGAGAAACCCTTGCACTGCAGTAACCCCCGCTCACTGCAGCTAGAGAAAGCCAGCGTGCAGCAGCAAAGACCCAGTGCAGCCATAAATACATAAATAAATAAAAAGCAAATAAAATTATTTTTTAATTGTATTTCTAAGGGGAAGAGGACAATTACCAAAATAAACCCCAAGAGAATAAGAAATAAAGTAGCCTGCTTATATCTATATAACATCCAGATTGCAAAATAATGTGTTTCACTCTGAAGTACTTGATTTCTGATTGTAAAGACCACAGATGGCTACAGTAGTTTATATTTGCCACATGAATGACAGCTTTTTATATTTTGGTTTGAGGATACTTGTCAAAGGGGCTTCCCAGGTGGTGCTAGTGGTAAAGAACCTGCCTGCCAATGTAGGAGACATAAGAGATGCAGGTTCGATCCCTGGATCAGAAAGATCCCCTGGAGGAGGACACAGCAACCCACTTTAGTATCCTTTCCTGCAGAATTCCCTGAATAGAGGAACCTGGCAGGCTACAGACCATAGGGTCATGGATCCCATTTGTTCCACACCTGCCTTTCTACTAGGACTCCTATCCTCACCAATGAAAATCTCATGGAAACCTTGGATGGAGCAGATAGAGATGGGGCCAAGCTGCATGTACACGAGGGCCTGATGGAGTCAGGATGAGCACAAAGAACCTCCCGTGAAAATGACAAATCAAGCAGAGGTGACCCTGTTCAGCACCCTTAACATCTCCATGTCAGTAAACATGCACCTTGGGCTTCTGCCTCCCAAGACTTCTAACTGCCTTACCAATTCCAAATGATGGGCAATTTGTTTTGGATCCAATATTTTCTATCCACATGCTCCCTTGGACTTGATGCTTCAAGTCTTCCCAAGATCCCAGACCCACTCCTCACCCTTCTCCTTCAGGAAACAGCCTTACCTACTCAGCCTTACCTATTCCCACACCAAACACCAGCTAAGAGAAGTAAAAGCTTGGTCTAAAGCCTTTGGTCTCTGATGTTCTTAGCATGGAGGGTCTGAGAATCAGAGTAACGTAGAGGATAAGTCTTCAGCAGAATAAGGAAAACCAAAGGGTTAAAAGAAGTCAGAATTTTAGAGACCGGTAGAGAACCCAAGAGATTGATGAAATCTTTATTAAAGTTGACTGCACACCAGTAAGTTTGGGCACTTATTCTGAAATGAACACAGAAGGCCTTGCAAAAATACAAGAGCCAAATGACCAATAACCATATGAAGAAACTCACAACATCACTAATCATGAGAAAAATGAAAATCGAAAACACAATAAAAAGAGTTTGGAGAAAAGGGAACAGTCCTACACTGTTGGTAGGAACATAAATGAGTACAGCCACTATGGAGTATAGTATGAAGTTCCTTAAAAGTCTAAAAATATAGTTACCATATGATGGGACAACCCCACTCTTCAGACAAGATGAAAACTCAAATTTTAAAGATGCATGTACCCCAGTTTTCACAAGAGCACTATTGACAACACCCAAAGTATGAAAGCAACCTAAGTGTCCAGGATGGACGAATGGATAAAGAAGAATGTGGTACATACATACAATGGACCATTACTCATCCATAAAAAATAATAAAATAATGCCACTTGCAACAACATGCATGGATCTAGAGATTGTTTTTTTAAAAGCCACAATGAGGTATCACCTCATAGCCATGAGGATGGCTACTATTTTAAAACAAAGCAAAACTAAAAGGAAAATAACAAGCATTGATGTGTTGGCAAGGATGTGGAGAAACAAGAACCCTTGTATACCACTTGTGAGAATGTAAAATGGGGCAGCTGCTGTGAAAACAGTACAGTAATTCCTCAGATACTTAAAAATAGAATTACCATATGATCCAGTAATTCTACTTCAGGGTGATAGGCAAGAAGTTAGCTGAGAGCAAGAAGAAGGCGCTCCTTCGGCTAACTGTCCAATAGCCACCTAATCCCACCAAGCAATTTGCCAGCCCCACTCTTAATATACCCACCAGTACTCCAAATATAGTCAAGGGGCCCTAAACATTGCCCCTCAACCACCCACTGGTGGGACTTCCCTACTCTAGCGCATGTGTACACGTCACACTCTCCTGTACTAAAGTGACCTTTGGCAGCCATTAACTGTTGGACTCATTAACTGTTTATAAATATTTTATGAAATGCTCTTGTTCAGGCACTCAGTCATGTCTGACTCTTTGCAACCCCATGGACTGCAGCAAGCCAAGTTCCCCTGTTCTTCATCATTTCCTGGAGCTTGCTCAAACTCATGCCCATCGAGTCAGTGATGCCATCCAACCATCTCATCTTCTATCGTCCCCTTCTCCTCCTGCCTTCAATCTTTCTAAGCATCAGGGTCTTTTCTAATGAGTCAGCTCTTCGCATCAGGTGGCCAAAGTATTGGAGCTTCAGCTTCAGCAATGGAGCTTCTGTGAATACATGCATCTAATTATAACAGACTGAATTATGGAAGGATATGCATGTAGAGTATCTTGTTGTATAACCTGCAGCTGTCAAGCAAAGCTGTGAATCAGTGACCCTCCTGGATTATGCAAATGACTCTGCCTTAAAAACTCTGTACCCCAGCCCCCCAAGGCCATTTGTCTCCCTTGGCATGGCCTACCTCTCTTTTGAGGTGTTCTCTTGGTTCTTTGGCTGCAAAGAATATTTTTTTCTGGGCTCCAAAATCACTGCAGATGGTGATTGCAGGCATGAAATGAAAAGACACTTGCACCTTGGAAGAAAAGTTATGACCAACCTAGACAGCATACTAAAAAGCAGAGACATTACTTTGCCACCAAAGATCCATCTAGTCAGAGCTATGGTTTTTCCAGTAGTCACGTATGGATGTGACAGTTGGACTATGAAAAAAGCTGAGTGCCGAAGAATTGATGCTTTTGAACTGTGGTGTTGGAGAAGACTCTTGAGAGTCCCTTGGCCTGCAAGGAGATCCAACCAGTCCATCCTAAAGGAAATCAGTCCTGGGTGTTCATTGGAAGGACTGATGCTGAAGCTGAAACTCCAGTACTTTGGCCACCTGATGCAATGAGCTGACTCATTTGAAAAGACCCTGATGCTGGGAAAGCTTGAGGGCAGAAGGAGAAGGGGCCGACAGAGAATGAGATGGTTGGATGGCATCATCGACTCAATGGACATGGGTTTGGGTGTACCCCTGGAGCTGGTGATGGACAGGGAGCCCTGGCGTGCTACAGTTCATGGGGTAGCAAAGAGCTGGACACGACTGAGCGACTGAACTGAACTGATCTTGGTTCTTTGTGTGGGCTCAGGGCTCAGTCGTGTCCAACTCTTTGTGCCCTGTTCTTTCTTTCCCTGTTGTAATAAATTGCCTTGCAATAGGTAAGACCTTATATTCTTCTTGGTGTCCTTACCAAGAACCGAGGCCCACAGAAGGAAGAGTCTGCAGACTCTCCTTCCATTAACAAGGGTATATACCCAAAGGAAGTGAAAGCAAGGACTCAAAGAGATATTTGCCAAAGAAACCCAAGAGTCCATCAACATATGAATGAATAATGAAAAATATGATATGTACATACAATGAAATATTATTCAGCCTTAAAAAGGAAGGAAATCCTGACATATGCCACAACATGGGTAAACCTTGAGGACTTTGTGTGCGTGCGTGCTGTCACTTCACTCATGTCTGACTCTCTGTGACCCCATGGACTGTAGCCCAATAGGTTTCTCTGTCCATGGATTCTCTAGGCAAGGATACTGGAGTGGGTTGCCATGCCCTCCT